ACCTTGGATCTATGTTTTCTCTATTATACATGCAAATAATCAATATTCCAAGGTTTCAGCCTATCTAGAATATTATGAAGCACCTATACTACAAAGTACTAGTTAGATGACATACCTTTTACTTGTGGTTGTTTCCTTAGTGCTTTAAGAGCTTAGTGCCCCAAGTGTTGCACCTCAAATGGTTCACACAACACCACCAACAATTGGAATAACTAGAGAATAAAGTATACTTGGTTCTTTCCTTCTGAAATCGGTTTGCCCTCTTTAGTGTATCCACACTTAGCGACTAGCCACTAGCTTCTTTCTCTAGCACCCATTTCATGAACCATAGGACTCTTTATATAGTATGGAGGATTAGGGTTAAACCCTAATATCCATGACCATTCATTTCCATAGGATCTATGGGCTAAACACTCCATGGACTATCCATGAAAGCTTAGCCCAACCTAAATGAACTTGGCCCACTACACATATATATCTAAGAGTCCATATTTAATTAGTTCCTTTTGATCACTTAATTAATTATTGATCAATACTAATTAAATAATATGATTTTATATTAACATATTAGAACTTATAATATATTAATATAAATCACTAGTATCATTTTTCTCATTTTTTCTAATCAATTGTTCCGATGCCATGCAACCCAAATGGACCATGCCAAGTCGGGTCAAGTACATACTAAATATAGTTATGGACTTGAACATTAATCTAACAATTAGTTCGTGGATGAGAGTTGATCTATCTGAACTTTCCATTGCTCCCTTTTCTAACCCATCCAATGATCCATGAGCAACAGATTTCAAGCTTTTTATAGAGAATTAAATGAAGATGAATTTTTTTGGGATGAAGACTGTAGAATCATTCGTCAAGAACTTGAAGGACGTTTTGGATCCAAAGACCAACAAGTCGTTCAAAGTTGTGATGCGGCCTCCTTCTAACCAATTGAAATAAATTCCTATAGTATAGATGTTTCAAGATGGTTCACTAAGAAATATGCTTTACTGGGTCTATGATGAAGCCACAGCTTCTGCTGTCATCAAATGTCCAGACGGTGTATTTCGGTTGATCAACAAGAAGGATTTGCTTCAGTTTGGTAAATGGGATTTTCACACTCTGGCTCAACATCAAATACATGTTGTTAATGAAATTTTCGATATTGTTGCTAAAGAGTACACGATGATGATTGCAGAGATTATAGAGAAGAAGATGTGGTTGTGTGCAATGGGAAGGTCGGATGTGCTCATCATTGAAAAGGACTAAAACTATGCTAGCCTCAAACCAAGGGGGAGACTGTTAGGTCACATTTAGTTAGTTTGAGCTAGGCATCTATCTGTATAGGTCTGCTAGGGTTTTTGGTTATGTAACTTGGGGTTCATTTATGAAATTCAAATGTGTGGGAAATAATGGCAAAGCTATTATTAAAGATTTTATCTAAAAGCTTTACAAAAGTAATAAAAACTCTCAAAACAAGATGCTACAAAAAGAATCAACACATTTTTCTAAAATTCAACAGTAGCATCCCATACTGGAATGATAAGGATGAAATTAAATATCATCCTCATCAATTAGTATAGATAGGCATATACAAGCAAGAAACCTATTTGCCCAGCAAAGCCATGGAAGAAAAGCTTGAAAGAGCCGATATCCTCCAATTAGCAAAATCTAGAATTGAAATCTTTATCAATAAGGTTTTCATTTTTTCAGTGGATGAAAAGATCTTTGTTAATGGATATGATGCCAATGAAAAGACCATAATCTACAGCAAATACAACAAAGAGATTTCTCCGCCCGATGAACAACTGTTCTTAGCCTTCCAAAACTCCCTACTAAAGCCAGACTTAATCGGCGAACACATGGCATACATCTGTAAGAAGCTCCACAAAAACACTAACAGATACAACTGCCAATGCTCAATCATCCAGGTGGCCTCCACTACCAAAGATAATAATGGCAAAGCTGTTATTAAAGAAGATTCCTCGACAAGCATCAAATAAGAGAGGAACCTCAAAGATAAGCAACTACACAATAATATTGTTAGTGGATGATTTGGTCAGCAGTGACGTAAAACACTTGTATCAGATCCTCTCTATGATTCTATAAATAGAGAGTTATGCTTTAATTTGTAAGCAGAGTGAAAACAAATATGAATATGGATATCTAAGAGATTTGAAAAAAAAACTTCATACATGTATGTATGAAAATACTTTTTAATGTGCATACAAACAAAAAAATATGAATATGCATCAAAAATACATTCTTTTTGTTGAAAAACCAACTTTTTTTAAATATTTATATTATAAAATATTTATTCGTTGACTTAAGAACACTATTTTTGCTTATTAATCAAAATATTTTATACAAAAAAACTTTTTTTTATTTCAACGAAATTTTTTAAAATATTTCAAAATCAATATTTAAAAGAAGAATTTTTCATAATAATGCATTTTTGACATATTTTTATATTTGTTTTTCCATAGCCACATTTAAACAAATTTGCATATGCAAATCATACTATTTTTTTCTAATTACATTACAAATATTTTTCATATGTCATATACACATGCACATGTGAAATTGAATGTGAAAGTTATATCAAGGTCGTAAAAATCGTTCGACATTAGCTTGACGGTGAACAGGTGTTAACGGATTAATCGGAGACAATAAATTATTAATAATATATTAAAATTAATCATATATTAATATATCTTAAAAAAAGTAGTTCAAAATTAGAAAAATAAAAAAAAATTGTAATTTGAAATTTTGAAAATACGAAAATATGAACATTTTGGTATAATATTTGAAATTTTGAAAATTTGAAAATTTTAGATTAAAAAAAAAAAAAAAGTTGATTCTTTGAATTTTTTTAATTTTTAATTTTTTTTGGCTTTTGTTGACCGGTTAAACCCGCCAAACCCGGTTAATCCTAAATTTCCGATTAATAACCTTATCCTCGACGGTTGGAGAAGATCAGTCGATTAATCCACGATTAATCACCAATGAATCTCGATTTTCACAACCATGATATATATATATATATATATATATATATATATATATATATATATATATATATAGGGCTAGGTTATTTTGTTTCTTACATTTATTGTGTGCTATAATGCACCAATAGAAATTTAGTAAATTAAATAATTATTTAATTAAATAGATATAGATATTAAATGATTTTCATAATTATATGTATATTAAATGATATTCATAATTATAATTCTCTTTTTATGGAAATTAATTAAATTTGTCATTAACGTCAGCAACAACATTCTTTCGGAATGAATTCGCATCTAGGTTATTATATATGAGTTCATATTTTGTTTTAGGACTCACTCACTTAAAATACAATAAAATTACATGGAATACGAAGAACGAGAGTGTATTTTACTAGAATACACTCTCATTTTGCCGGAATACACTCTTATTATTCTAAATATGAATTCATTCTAAAAGATTATTATTGTTGACATTAATGACGAGTTTAATTAGTTTCCATAAAAATGAGTTATAAGTATGGATAGCATTTAATATACATATAAATAATACTAAATTTCTTTTGGTGCATTCATTTGAACCTACCTCTATGTATGTAATATCCGGATTTTCGGGTACGTCATTTTAATTATATATTTTTGAATTAATTGGAGGGACTCGAAGAGTTGGTGCCACAACTCGTCGAGTAGGGTCGTGATCAGGTGACATTTTAACGAATGGACTCGACGAGTCGGGTATCTGTCTCGACGAGTCGGTGCTGATGAGGAAAACCCTAATTGTCCGGGTTTGGGACCTATTTAAAGGTCCTTATGGCCTTCATTTGCGGCCACACAAACCCTTGTGAAACCCTAATCGCCCTTAAAAGCTTAGAGTGAGAAATAGCACCTTTGTGAGCCTCTTGGTGTGTTCTTTAAAAGGAAGGAGGAGAGTTTCGAGGTTTGGAAGCAAGGAGATCATGGGATTGGCTGCTATTTCACTCCAGACTTCTGTAATAGGTACAAATCTGCACCTAATCTCTTGTTTTGGATAGATCTCATGGATTTAGGGTTCTTTACCCTCTTTTAGAGCTAGGTTATGAAGATGTGAGGTCCCTTTTTGATTTAGGCATCAGATCTGGACCTTGATAGGTCCAGAGAGTCCCATGAACTTAGCATTATGTAGTACCATGAGTATATTGAGCCTAAAACACCATTAAAGTGGTTATTTCATCAAATAGAGCTTGATGTGCCATGCATGGACATCAAGTTCAGACCTTTACATGACTTTTGGGTGCTAAAAGGCCAGATCTATAGATTAGAGGAACAGATCTGACCTCAGAAGGTCAAAAGAGTAACGCCATGGAGGAAACTCGTTGAGTCCATTAGAGAACTCGACGAGTCGGATCGGGTTGCCCCGCGATTCGTGACCAGTGGCAACCCATCGAGTTGGGAGGTTAGCTCGATGAGTCGAGTGAAGTCTTAGAAGGAATCAGGGTACACGCATGAACTCGCCGAGTCACCGAGTGCACTCGGCGAGTCTGGTCGAGTTTGACCATTTTCTAGGGTTGACTACAGTTGACCTTAGGGTTTGGTCAAACTGATTAGGAGGGGTCAATTAGGGGTAGAATGGTCTTCTACCCGTTCTTAAGAAATGAGGAAGTAAAGAGAATATTGATTAAGAATTGTTATCATTATGCTAGGCAGAGGCTAGACTGAGGATATCGAGCATGAGGGTTTACTAGACATCTTACGAGGTGAGTATTCTCACTATACGTTACCTAGAGTGGTATTCTGTGTCACTGGAAGGTGTTATGTGCTTACTTGATTTATGAAACTTATCTATATGATTTTGTGCTAAGAATTATTCAGACCGGACCGGAATGTCCAACGTTATATGAGGCCAGAAGGCAATCTGAGATATGGGCCGGAAGGCAATAAGAGATATGGGCTGGAAGGCGAATAATGGTAGGACCGGAAGGTTTACCAAGACTATGGAGCCGGAAGGTCCACTGAGACACATTGGCTGGAAGGCATCCTTGAGTTATATACTCGAGTGGCTAGTATGTTTTATGTGGTATTTTGGGGAGCTCACTAACCATTTATGTTTACTGTGTTATGTGTTATGTGTTTCAGGTACTAGTGAGGATCGCGGGAAAGCGCCGACATAATTTGTACATACTGATAGAGCATCATGTATTTAAGATTCTAGGATATGTTTGGGATTGTCTTGATGAGATAATAATTTGATACATTGGTTTTGAGAACATGTTATGAAATATTTTATGTTGAAAATGAAAAATTGTTTTTGAAAATTCACGTTGTTACAATATATATATATATATATATATAGAGAGAGAGAGAGTGAGAGAGAGAGAGAGAGATTGAGGATGTTTTATCACGCTCTCAACCTTTTATAAAATGTATTGGTCACTTTTTTTGCCATCAACCATTTAAGGAGACATACTTGAAATGAACATACGTATATCCAATATACTTTCGATAAACCTTAGCGTATGACCCTTAGCCAATATTCCTAATTTTTATAATTTTTATTCTAAACCGCCTAAGGAATTAAATGATAACATCATACTTTAATTTTTTTTATATAGAATTTTAAAACCTAAACGTGTATAATATGTCTAAACTACGATCTTTGAAAGATTATCTTTTAGTTATTATGATAATTAAGTTGTCTATTAATAAAGAAAATGTCTTCTCATTACAGAGTATATATATATATATATATATATATATATATATATATATATATATATATATATATATATATATATATATATATAAACACTAATCGTTTACTCGCACCAAATAGTTTTTTAATAAATTAGTTTTTTACAAACGATTAATTCTTTTGTATAAGTAGTTTATTACATGTAAACTATTATATGTACAAACACATGATTAATTGTACATTATTTATCTTGCAATACTTCTTTAAAGAACACACACTCTATCATTAAATATCATTTATAAATAAAATATACGTATATTGTACTTTTATTTGGATAATAATTCATTCTCGAGCTAAGTGGAGCATACATGAAGGATTGAGAGACCCGATTATTGACCGGGGGACACTAAAGAAGGTCGTTGGCTCAAGTCTAGGATGGCCCTGGATCTATTGTCGTCAGCCTCATGATCTATTGTAGTCAGGCTCATGATGTGTCTGGCGAGTTTTCCATCTTTTTTAGATACTTGTTATAGGCCTGACGTAAATGGTGGACAAGTTTCATATTTATACCTTATTTATGCTATTAGTTTCTCTTTGATAGGTGTTAGTTTTATTAGAGTAAGCATTTCTCTTTTTTATGAATGGTTACATGTTATTTACAAAGAATATATGGTGTTTCATCTAATAGTTTCTGTTAACATATAGATTTTGTGTTTTGTATTTGTGGGTTAGGGTTTTGGACTTAGAGTTTAGGATTTAGGATTCAGTAAAAAAGAGTTATTAAATCCACTGTAAGTTAGCTTTGTAACAAAACGAACATAAAGTTATGTCCAAAATCGATTAGTTTTAATATTTTTAATATCATATTATGTTTATAAAATGATGTTAGTTTTTAATTATGAATATTAAGTCATATTAATTCGGAAATAAACATACATTGCTATCTAATTTTATTAATTTGGTTTTTCGAGTAGTAAATTGCTACCATATATGTTAATAAAGTTTATGCTTTCCAATTTCCAATATCTAGTGTCATCATGGACTTGTTATTCAATAATTTTAATTATTAAAGAACTAGGTGTGAGATCCGTATGTTATACGGGTTTATTAAAAAAAATGAAATACGAAAGTTTATATAAAATTTTATTTAAATTTGAAATTTTAGATTTGAAATTTAAAATTTAAAAGGAAACATATTAAATACTATATAATCACTAATAAATGAAAATAATTTGACACATGTCACTCTCTTATTAACTTGGACACATGTCATTTTTTTGTATTTTTGGTTAATTGTTTTTCCCATTTGTCATTTTTTTTCATTTTT